AAAAGCAGATGTTTTCTACAGTTTCTGTTTGTTGTTTAAGCCTCTAACATTCCAAGTCACCACCTTAAAGTTTTGTGCCATTTATATTCTACTGACCAACCTGAACAAAACAAATAACTTTCCAACTAACCTCCTTGCACTTTTGCAAGGTAAGCTTTCAGTAATTCAAAAGGGAGACTCCAATAAGTTTCCCTGACTGAAAGACACTATCAACCTGGGGGGGAAATACTAGCCAAGAAAAATATTAAAAAGAAAGACCTTGTTGCTTCCCTCGCCCCCGCCAATAATAAGATCTCAAACTGAATATAACCATTTTTTAAACCGATGTTAATCCTCCTCTAGATTTCTATATAATATTTATGTTGAAAGGTGTATATAGCTATAAGAGGTTTATAAATTATAATAAATGCTATAGTAAAATAAGATAATAAACTATATTTTTATTCCTTATAAAATACCTTAATAACATATTACGTCATACTTTTATTTGAATTATACGATGACTTGGAAAAGTAACGTGTATATTAAGTCATACACATAAACAATTCCTTTTTAAATATTAAGCCGTATAAAATAAATGTGTACAAAATAAATTAATAGTGTATTACTTCATACACGTTACTTAATTAATATATAAACATGGAAGGGTTTAAAATATATTGCGTTCTATACAATTCCTACCATTTGTTCTTTAAAATAAATTAACGATGTACTTCATACACGTTGTCTAAATATTAAATCATACACATATACATTTCCTATTAAGTATAAAGCCATATAAAAATATATTTTATAAAACATAGCCTGATAATGTGTTGCTTCTCACACATTACTTAAATAATATATAAACTTGAAAGGGCTTAAAGTAAATTGCATCATATGCAGTTATACATTTCTGTTAAATATTAAGCCATATAAAAGTATATTTTATAAAACATAACTTAATAATGTACTGCTTCATACACGTTGCTTAAATAATATATAAACTTGAAAAGGCTTAAAGTATATCGCATCATATACAGTTCCTAAAATTTGTTCTATAAAAGATAGATTAACAGTGTATTACTTCATTCCCTTTACCTAAATAATACATAAACTTAAAAAGACTTTATATATTTTGATTCATAAACATTTCCCATTAAATATAAAGTCATATAACTATATCTTGTCCCAAAAATGCTTTACCAAAGTGTTATCAAAATATGAGTGTATTCAAAATATAACTGCTACAGTTGAGCTGACCTGCATAGCGTATATTAAGTCATATACATTGCAAGAGTTAATCAATAGAATATTACTGCATTCACTTTACCTAAATAATAAAAATAAAGTATCTGGGCATTACTTCATACGCTTCATTTAAATAATACATAAACTTGAAAAGGCTTTATGTATATTAATTCATATACAATTCTCAATAAAGAAAAAACATATTAAAATATCATATAACTGTGCCTTAACATGAATAAACTTTGCTGGAGTATTATCCCGACTTAGATATTGTTAAAACATAAATGCTACCTTAAATCAAGCCTGCATGACGTATATTAATTCATATACAATGCAAAAGGTCCATTGAAAAATAAAATAATCCTTCCTTTTAACATATATTATAACTGCTGAAACTTAAACCATATAAAAGACTTTATAAATTTAGCGAATTATTAGCTTCAGTGTTCTTTGTTATAAGAAAAAATTCTGTCTAAACAGAAAGTTACTCACGATCCTCTCCACCACATCTTGAGGTGTATTAATGGGTTCAAGAAGTACTACAGTACAAACTTAAGAGTTCAGAAGACGTTGTTCTTCCTCTTCCGTAATCTGGATTTTGAGGTTTTGAAGAAGTTTAATTCCGGAAGGGATATCAGTTGCTTGCATAAGTGTTCCATTTTTGTAGACGTGGATATCCGAGGCAGCACTCCATCAAAATCTGATATGCTCAGAGAACAGCTTTGTTACTATCGGTCTCAAACTGCGGCGTTTTTCCAGCGTGTCTGCAGAGAGGTCTAATAAAACTTGTATCTTGTTACCATCATGTTCCAAAGAGCCGTTTATTCTAGCTTCACGTAGAATTCTATCCCTGGTCTTTGGGTACAAAAATTGAGCCAGGATATCTCTAGGGCGGTTCCTCTTTGCCAAGGCCAAAGGACCCAGTCTGTATGCCTTTAAAATAATAGGAACTTTGCCTTCTTCCATTTTTAGAATCTGCGCCAACCATTCAGATAATATTTGTACCATGTCTTTTCCCTGTTCCAAGCCCTCTTCTAGGCCCCGAAATTTTAAATTCAGTTGGTGCCAACGATTTTCCAATGCGGTTACTGCTGGACGCCATGTTGTCTTCTGGAGGGGTAGTGTGCTCCGTTGTTCTAGCCGCCGTTTCTCTCGTGAAATATGTAGACACATAATGTTCTGTAAGCTATTTCTGCTCTGTTTTGTTTTTGAATTCTTTCCCATTTCTTTTTTGGTGTAGTTCAGAGGTTTACTTGCAGTAGAAGTAGATTTCGGCGGGTAGCTACAGGAGCAAGCTCAGCATGCGACCGCTCTCATCGGCGTCGCTCCGCCCCCCCACGGCAAAGTTTTTAAGGTTGTTTTTTTCCATCTAAGCATGTATCAGAAGAAACCCATACATTCCACCTTTCACATAATTTCACTTTCTTCTTATACATCTGTAGCCTGTTCTTTTGCCACAACATTTTTACATGCCTTTTGTCCTTATGGGTGTGATAAATTAATCCTAATCTTTCCCCTTTTGTCTTCAGAGTTTCCAATTTCCAAGTTATATTGTCTCTTTTCAATTTCCATGTTCTTTGTTTTGTCCTCCCCCCCATCTTTCTTCCCCTCCAAAGTTCAGCTTTTGCGCTTTTTTTTTAAGCAAACATAACAGAAAGTCTTTTTAACTGTTTTTTTCTCACTATTTTCAATGGACGTAATTGAGTCTCATCACCGACCTTCTCTTGGGAATACTCTGGGCTGACTACCTCATTCTGAGTACAATCCTGCTTTTGGTAGACGCCCGTGTTTTCCATTCCACTCTGAGTCATTTGACTAAGCTTTTCTTTATCCTCAGTTTCAGTTTGGAAGTTGTGCGATTTTTCCACTATATTTCCAAACGCTTCTTCAATTCCTTTCCGTATCCCCTCTCTTAAGACTCTAAGAAATTATTCTAACGTCATCTTGCCCACCTCCATATTCTCATCAAGTTCTTCCTCTGTCTGTATTTCCAACGCCATCTTAATCATTTCATTTAAACCATTTCATTAAGTTCCAAGAAAAAGACAGAACCATTCACTTTATCTAGTCACCTCTCTTCCATATCCAATATAGGTCCTTGACAGTGAAGAAAGACTATACATTTCCCGAAAAAAACAAGAGTACAAAATGACAAGCAACCGTCACTCTCAGGTATGTCTCGGCCACTGTTCTTCTCCATTTTAGTTATTTTATTCGGGATAATCTCTCTGTCTTCCCGCTGTACTTTAAATTCAGAAGTAAGCATACTCACTCTTTTTATTTTTCTTCTGTATTGCTGCATTTATTGTAAATCCTGTTAGGTTAAAAGAAGGATGGTCGTAGCTAATGCCATGCTCTACTCTATGAAAACGCTCCTGCTTCGGGGCAGAAGCAGACATCCCCCCGTATTGCCGAAAATGGGAGGGGCTGCGACAGAGCCCCCTGCTCTAGACCTCTCTCCAAGAGATCTAGCGGAGTCCTCCCCACCATCCGGGGGGATCCGAAAGAAGCAAAACAGAATCAGGCATCTCGAAGGAGCCAAGAATGCTCCCATCGCCACGCCGTACCAACCAGAAGTCTAGTTTTGTTCACTGTTAACACTTGAAATTATATATGCAACAACTATATAGTAAGCACCTGGTTATTTTATTAAAAAAAACACACTAGAGATTTATTTTTATTTATTTTATTCGATTTATATTCCACCCTCCCTACCAAGGCAGGCTCAGAGATACCCAATTCATAAAACTCCTGCACTATCAAAGATTCTCTTTAAGAAGGCTTTTAAAGACTGTAGTAAGAAAAAGACAACTCTGGCCCCGGTCACACAAGCGGGAAAATCCACACAGGAAGGGAGGCATTTTAGAGGTGGAGTTAAAAGAAGTGTGGGAGTGCGATCTTACAGTTCCCCACGGCTCTGTCCTCAGGTCGTCAGCAGCCGATCACACCAGGGAGGCAACAACGTAGTCCCAGCGAGGCAACACAGCAGTACTGCATTACTGCACATGCGTGGGTCACTGACAGCTGCTGGATGCCATGGGCTACCGGCACTTCTCCGATCAGACGCCCGCCCGTGCCGCGCATTTACCGGAAGCTACTACCTTTCCCCCAGTGCCTTTTAAAGCCATTCTCAATCTGCTTCTCAATGCACCCTCAATCCATCCCTTTCGCGGGGCAAATCCTCCATGTGACCAGGACCTTTGTAGAACAAGTAACCAAAGGTTCCTTTATTGCAGCTAGAGACAAAGCTATAGGATTATTATTCTGACAAACTGTGATTCTACATTGTTTATTGGAGGTCTTTGGTGTCTGATCGAATTGCTTCTCATATTTTGTGATCTGCCTTGTGTCTTAGTGAGAAAGGCTAGCTATAGATGATGATAATAATGGACAAGTATTTCAAACATTCACTCTGGAAGTGGAGATGAGGTAAAGTGATAGAGAAAGAGGAGAAAGAACAGTTTGTGGTTACTTGTCTGACTACTGTCTAGGCAAAAAGATCTGACCATCCGATAAGAGCTCTCGCACTGCTGTGCATTCAATAATCCAAAAAGCAATTTTCAAAACTGCTCAAACTGGAGTAAGCAAAAAGGGGCCAAAGCAAATCCCAGAGAAAAGGGAGGAAAAATAGGAAGGCAGTTTTGGGGGCATCTTTTATGAAATAAGCCAATTTTTTTTTACATGAAATAAATGCTTCACAAAGATTGTGTCACTTTCCTCAGATACATGTAATGCCTAATGCAAGTTCCTTTTCCATAATTTCCCCCCAGAGAAAGTCCATAAGGAACTGGAAAATGTTCTGGGTTCATCTCAATCATTCAGTTATCAAGATCTAAAGAAACTGCCCTACACCAACGCTGTAATTCACGAGATCCAACGACTGCAATATGTCTTATTATATGGGCTGCCCAGAGAATGTGTGAAGGATGCGAACATACTTGGCTTTCCCATTCTAAAGGTATCCAAAATTGTCATACCTGCAGCCATAGAACCTCAAAGCAATATTTATTAGGCATAGTATTTAAAAGACATACTTGCATAGAAGCTTCCTATGTTGAATTTCTGGAAAGATAAGAAGCTTGCCCACCTTTCCCCCAAATTAAACCCTATGACATTGGGATTATTGTATTACTAGGAAAAAGGCCTGTTGTGGAAATAAATACAACGGCCTCTAGAAAGAGGCTCTGGCCGGGTGCCCTGGCCTTGGACACTCAGTGTCAATTTGCTGTGGCAAACTCAGCAGGGTATAATGACACTGAGTCCATCATTTTCTCCAGAGGAACTGATCTCTGCTACCTAAAGAACAGTTTGTAATTTTGAGTGATCTCCAGCCCTCATCTGGAGATTGGCAAAAATGGTTCCCCAGAGGGAATGGTTGGTTTGGAGGGTGGAGTCTATGGCTTTGTACCTGTCCGAGGTTCCACGTCTCCTGATACCTCCCAGGAATTTCCCACCTGGAGTTGGCAACCCTATCTCCTTCCCAGCCAATTATCAACCTACCTTTATTTTCCCCTCACTCTTCAGCTTTCCACCCCCCACACACCTGCAGCCTCTCCCGTGCTCTGAAGCCCTGACTGCTACGTCACATTGGCTGTCATATGGGGGCCACCTCAGCAGCATATAAGGATACAGAGCCCACCATTTTCTCCAGGGGAACTGATCTCTGCCATCTGGAAAGCAGTTGTAATTCTGAGTGATCTCCAGCCCTCACCTGGAGATTGGACACATTTTACTTCAGAACAGCAAACTGTTTAGAATGTTAGAGGCAAAAGCCAATCAAGTCGCATATGCGAACGACCTCTGTGTTCCGAGGCAAAGGCCAATGAGGCTGCATATGCAAATAACCTCTGTGTTCTGACTGGCTATGGGGGGGAGAGGAACAGCAAACTGTTTAGAATGTTGGAGGCAAGACTCAAGCAATGCAGCCAGTGGATAGGGACAGATTCTGAGTGACACACCAGGGCGCCAACCAATTCCGGAGCGTGTGGAATGTTCTAGAGAAGTGCCACCACCATTTGGCTTTTATATATAAGGGAGATCTCCTCAAAGCAGTTTGACCGATCTGTGCGGAACAGTCTGTGTTGTGTTGTTTTCAGTTATCACATGGTGTCCAGCATCCCCACCCACAAAAATTTAATATATAGCTCTCAAGCACCTTTTAATAATAGATCGGGAGAAAAACTCTAAATACTCCTTCTCTTTACTGAAATCTTCTGATTTCACAAATGAATACAATTTATATACTTGACTCCAGAAGAAAGATTTGAGATGAACCAAGGAATGATGTTTTGTGTAGTTTGGTGTAGCGGTTTGGATTGCGGACTTTAATCTGGGAGAACTGGGTTTGATTCCCCACTCCTTCACATGCAGCTGCTGGTGTGACCTTGGGTCAATCATAAGTTCTTTCAGAGCTGTTCTCTCGAAGGCAGTTCTCGAGTTCACTCAGCCCTACCTACCTCACAAGCTATCTTTTGTGGGGAGGGGACGGGAAAGGAGATTGTAAGCCACTCTGAGACTTCTTTGGGTAGTGAAAGGTGGGGTATAAATCCAACCTCCTCCTCCTCCAACGGAAAATGATATCAGCTTCCAGGAGTCCATTAAATCGATCTCCTTGCAATTCTTCTCCATATATAAGGTAAAGGTAAAGGTTTCCCTTGCTCGAAAGCCAGTCGAATCTGACTCTAGGGGACGGTGCTCATCTCCGTTTCCAAGCCGAAGAGCCAGCACTGTCCGAAGACATCTCTGTGGTCATGTGGCCGGCATGAAAGATGCCAAGGTGCATGGAACGCTTTTACCTTCCCACTGAAGCGGTGCCTATTTATCTACTTGCAATTTCTTGCTTTCGAACTGCTATGCTGGCAGGAGCTGGGGCCAGATACAGAAGCTCCGTCACGTGGCACTTGGGTCTAAAACTGCCGAACTACCAACCTTCCGGTCTGCAGTTCAGTGTCTTAACCACTGAGCCACCACAGCCCCTTCTCTACATATACTCTTTTCATTTTCATTTTTATTTTTTTCAAACTGCATCAGTTTCATCAGGGTTCTTTTGACTGGCTTTTTTTTACAAGCATACAAATTTAGCCTTTATTTTTAATAAATCTGAGTCCTAAGGATGAAGCATGGATATATGAGAAAGGGCAAAGAAGTGCACTGGCATAGTGAAGGACAAAAAAGAAAAGAAAAAGCAATATGCTGTTCTGGATATCTGTTGAGACGATTGGTTCTTCCTTTCAGGGGACCTCAGTTCTTCCAGATCTTTGTTCTGTTCTTCTTGATCCTAAGCAATGGGAGACTCCTGAAGAGTTGAACCCAAATCATTTTTTGGACAAGGATGGAAATTTTGTGCCTAGAGAAGAATTTCTGCCTTTTGGCGCTGGTATGTGGAGAACTCTAAAGTAGCTTATGATGGATGGTTTTGTTAACAAACAAAAGAATTGTAGTTTAGGAAATGATTGTAGTTTTCAGATTGTAGTTTAGGAAATGATTATTCAACCTGAGTCATTGAACTGCTTTACTTCTACACCAAATGTGAAACATCTTGAAGCCAAATGGATGTACCATTGGATCCAAATGGATGGACCATTTGGAAAGTAGTCCAACCCTACATTTCTCTTCTTCTGTCTGTACTAGACTGCCTTTGGGCTGATTGCTGCATTGCACTCACTAAGAGAGTGTAGCTAATATGCACAGAACTTTTCCAAAGGATCCAAGCCTTCATCTTAAAACTGCATATGCAGTTATGTCAGCTATGGGTAACTCATGGCCAACTTCCTCAGGGGTTCTACAGATACATGGGTTCTGATGGGAGTGGCAGATGTGGCCATGGGAATCTGATGGCCATTTTGGGATGTAAATACAACAGCAAAAACAAGCTGTATGCAAGTGCTATACAGAATCAATGCTCAAAACACACGGAAAAAACTTTATAGTGCTGATGTCAAACCATGTATAAATGACAATGATACAAAGGAGGAAAGGAGGTCCAAAAAGGTGCAGGTTGACGAAGTTTTCTGGAATACGAATTCCTTTCGACTAGCTTCATCCGCACAGGACCTCATGAAACAGTAGGATGTCTTCTAAGTTTCATGCACCATAAAGTATGATAGCAAAGATCATATCACTTCATAAAACTCTCATCTTGCTTTAGTGCTATATTCTACAGTTGCAGACAAATATTCCAAATATTCCAAAGAGACATTCAGAAAGGAGACATCTTACTGCTTCACGAGGTCCAGTTCAGATGAAGCCAGTCGAAACGAATTCGTATTCCGGAAAACTTCGTCAACCTGCACCTTTTTGGACCTCCTTTCCTCCTTTGTATCATCGTCATTTATACATGGTTTGACATCAGCACTATAAAGTTTTTTCCGTGGGTTTTGGGCATTGATTCTGTATAGCGCTCGCATACAGCTTGTTTTTGCTTTTGTATTTGGAGCTTTGGAGCTGTGATTCTCTTATTGCACTTTGGGAGGTAGAAAAGGGTTTTGGCCCGCCAGCCTCCTCAGAATACAAAGTAGCTGCTGACTAGAGTGGCACATAATGGACGATAGCTGAAAGAGATATCACTCACCTGCTTTCCTTCCTTGTTCCCTTTGAAGGTGCCCGTGTGTGTTTGGGGGAGCAGCTGGCCAGGATGGAGCTCTTCATCTTCTTCACCAGCCTCATGAGGATGTTTACCTTCCAGCTGCCAGAAGGAATGAGAGAACTCAGTCAGATGCCTATAGAAGGGTTTAGAACTCCTCCTCAACCTTATAAGATCTGTGCGGTTCCCCGCTGTAGTGCGTCATAAACAACGAAAACCATTTGCGCCAGGGGATTATTTAAGTAATAGTTGTGTGTCTAAATGGACACCCAGCCCTAGCTTTTGGACACCCAATG